CCCTTTCTGAAGACGTATTATTTTTCTATATGAAATCTTGATTGGATATGTGAGGACTGATTATAGAGTAGCATCTACAATTCTCGATGCACAACATAATAGAAGAGACTTGTAATTTTCAAAGCGAGCTTATATTTTCATTCTTTCTATATGTTATTATTAATCATTCATCGTATATAAGGAAAATTGAATTGGACACTTTAGGTTGTAGATTTAATTATTTATAGATTCATTTGGTTGAAATGTAGAAGTTTATAATAATATATGTATGCTTTATAACCTTTGACCTAGTTTGAATGGGTTGAATATCATAGTTTGTGTGTATATCAAGATGTAATTGTATTAATTGCATTTATTTATTATGGTCACACGCAATGGTACTTCGAAGAATGCTTCGAAGATCTCATATATAAACAATTTTTAAATTTATAGTGTATCAGTATAGAATGGCCATTAATGTATGAGTATATAATAAATAATGATTGAAAATCAGTATAGAAATTATATTAAATTTATTAAATCTATATTTATTTGTATTAAATTTAAAGGCTATATTTAAGAGTACACATTTTTCATTTGTTTTGTAAAACAGTTGTTTATATAGTTTCTATAATACTATCAGAAAAATTAATATGTTTTCATTTAAATAATTATTTTTTTCGTTTTTTTGTTTTTTCTTATGACGTTGAGATGCAAAACTTATTATTTGAAATACATGACCTCACCGAAGGCTTCGCGTTTCAAATTAATATTTAAGTTTATTTAAATTACATTTATTACCGATGTATATAAATATATATATATATATATATATATATATATATATATATGCATATATATAATAATTTTTATTTATTTCATCATATCATTTAATAATTTTTATTGATTTCATCATATCATTTAAGAATATATTTATCTTATTATCTTCCTTATTCACATCTTATTCGACATGCTTAAAATATTTCTCAATCGCTTTATTATTATTATTATTATTATTATTATTATTATTATTATTATTATTATTATTATTACTATTATTTTAATCATATATATATTTTGAATTTAAAAATAAAAATTTAAGATTTAAATAGTTTAGGACTTTACATTTTTACAGATTTTCATCTTTCAGCTCTATAATTTAATCTGCATTTTATTATTTTATATTATTTGATTAATCACATGTATTAGTGACTATCGACGTTGATATATTAATATCCAAGAAAATGTATCTATCATTACTATATTTAATAAAATATAAAAGAATTTATTTATTTACTTACGAAATTATTAGACTTTCAATTTGTAATTAAAGTGTTTAGAGCTGCTGGATATAACGCTGATATTTATTATTACTCATAATACTTAGATAATTTATAATAGTTAATTTCATAAGCCACGAACTATCATTGAAGAGATTCTTTTTGTCCTAAAAAATTTTTGTATGACAAAGATAAATGCAATCAAGAGTACCCAAGTTTCTGTCTAGTCAACATGCTGCTTTCATCTCACTGTCGCCAGACCTTTTTCCTTCTAACATGTATATTATATTTCTCGGAAACGTGGTCCAACAGACGCAAAAGCAGGCGATTCGAAATATATGTAACAGCGGGTGCACTCTAAGATTCTACGACTTGGTTGTTTAATAGGTTTCTTATGCAGCATGTGCATAGATCAGTCATGTGGGAGGATTTCGATCCTTTTTCCAGCTTTATTCGAAAAGACCTGGATTTTCGGCTTTGTCAAGCTTAGGTGAATTTCGAATTTTTTCGCTTCGGTGAAGTCTAACGTACGAATTCCATTGGAAACGTGAATCAAATTATGAAAGGGGATAAAACGACCGGCAAAACAGCTTTTTTTTTTTTTTTTTTAAAGGAAATGCAAACTATTGACCTTTACTTACCCATTTAAGTTGTTCTCGTCGTTCCAGCGACGCTTGTCGTCTGCGTTTTCTGTAAAAAGGAACAAGGTGGACATAATAGCGAGATGGAACATGTAATACACTATAAACATTGCATATACTATTGTACGCACTTTAATGCATAAATGTTAATTACTTAACATTTATTGTTCGTACCATATAATATAATACACGACATATTAGTTTTTAATATAAGGCATTGTTAAGTCAGTTTAATAAAATAATGTTTTTAAGCCAAATATTGATTATGCCAATGTCAAGTTATTTTCAAAATCTTAACTTGTATTTAATGAAAAAAGGAGAAATGAAGAAAACAAAGAAACAGGCACATTGAATAATATTCATATAGATTTATAATTTATATATATATATATATACTTCAGATACAATAAAGAAGTAAAACGTCAAAAAATGAATTGAAATTCATTATAGTAATTTATGTACATTTAAAGTTTAAATAAATGCAATTATACGTAGAACCAAGGCATATATTCACAATAATACAACTCTGTTATTTTACTTTAAATATTAATTTTGATTTGAAATATGTATATCCTATAAGTAAACAACATAGCTTGATATTAGCTTTTGTCTCTCATTACAAAGACCGAATTCTTAATTGGATATATTTTTGATCGACATTCCAACATCTATTTTATTAAGTAAATTTATTGTATAAGACAATTTACTAAACATTGATTAAAACGTCGGATCTCTTTACAAACTGTTTACACACATAATTGAATGAGTGTAATGTTGCGTACACAGGCTCATAAAGCACGCATATTTAATCGTATGTCTGATTGCGGAATTTAACCACGTTGACCGATGAATATACTTCTTCCTTTTCCCCTTTGCCCCACTCTATTGCATAATGGGTGGCTACCGGGCGCGTGCTTGGTCTCGTGCAGGACGAGTATCTTCGCAGGACTATGAATCATAGCATAGCGGAGGTAGCAGCTGCTATCCGTTATCTCTTTCTCGCCTAGGTGTCATTACGGTTGTTCAACCCTTACGAAGCAACGCTTCAGATCGCACTTTTAATGTCAGCATCGACTATCAGACACACGACCACCATAGTTTCCTACAGCAGCCGAGGGGTGGAAAGGACTGCTCGCGATCGTCCTTCCGCACGAGCTTCTGCAGCTCCGATTTTGCCGCCCGAAAGTAAAAACACGTGCCAGCATGTGGACATCTAGAGAGAGGCTGGCGCTTTAGTGATTATACCCTTTAGTGAATACCCCCCCCCCTCTATCACAGCATCGCCTGTCGCCCCATTTCCACAAGATTAACGTTGAAGTCGTTGTTTCTTCGATTGAATTTTTCATATGAATGAGACCTTTTAGCTATTTTTTAACGATCTTATACGTTGAACAAGGAAATTTTCTACTGTCTTATCATATTGGATAAAAGAGAATGGAAACGTTAAGTCTCGTATACGTGTCATGATTTATTATAATAATAAGTAATGATCATATTTAATAAAAGGATTCGCAGAGGAATAATATGTGTTAATATATTCGTTGCCCCCTCTCTTCGTCACCATCAAAGAGTTTTATTGTTTACATATATTTTCAATGTACTTAATAATATCTAACATAGGTATTCAGTATATGTATACAGAGATATGTACCTGTAGATAGGCCGTACTTTATTCAATTACATCATATATTACTGTCATTATGATTATGAGTATGTACACTACGTAAGTCGCTAGTCTTTAAAGTGCATACATCTGTCCATAAAGACATGCATGACACTCTTCAAGGAAGTAGGTTTTAAGAATTAAACACTGTAGTTTAAATGTGATGATTCTGAATAGCGTGTATAACGAGCTATCATAAAATCTCACAGGCTGTCGCTTTTTATTATATCGCTTGAGCATACATTTGAAAATATATTACCAAACTGCAAAAATATGGCTCGAGAAAGGCTCGATAATCCGATACTCGTTCATACTAATTAAACTGAACTAATTAATTGTTAATGACACTGTAGCATCCGTTTATTTGTCATATTAACGGGAATTCAAAGTTCAAAGGGAGTGACAGTGACATGAAACAGGAACTGGCAAGCAGAGTTTTAGCACCTACGATCAAATTAGACAGCTAAGTTATTATACGTTGACATATGTCTAATCTCGTGATTTACGAGAAAAACTCTTTAAAGCCAAAAATGTTGCCCAACACAGCAAGAGAAATAAGACAATCGTAATCTTCGAAAACTAGTAGAGCATTCCGACTTTCGAAACGACCTCCCCCCACTCCTCCCCCGCCGTCCAGTCGGCGTTCAGAAGCCACTAAGTCTTCAAGGAGCTCTATAATCTCCATGAGCCAAAGTCCCCCTATTTATTTACCTAATCGAAATTCGGAGCGAATATTAGCGCAATACAGGAAGGAGCCCCGCCCTAGATACATGAAACGTAGCCGCGGAAGCTTCTATTACACCAGCTGTGCACCCGCGTTTGCGTCAAGAGAGGCGCAGACATGCGTGGCGGGAGATATTTCGCGGTTTGCGTTGGTCGCATGGGCGCCGCGCATATGTCCGACACGTGAAAGATGCGCTCGCATGTCGTAAATCTCGTGGCACTCGAGAAGCAAGAAGAGACAAGGAGACCGACCGCACTTTGTGTGGTGTCCTCCTTTACTGGCTTCAGTTCAGTAATCAATCGACCGCTCGCAACTCTTGATAGGCTACTAATTATTCGTTCTGCACACAGGCACTTGAGATCTGTCTGGAATCGTTTACGGCTTTGGAACATAGGGACGTTTCGGCGACTGACGTTTCCAAAATTTACGATAATACCAATTATCAATCCCTTTCTTATAGCGTAAATATATATACTATTTTATTAATGTATTGCTTAAAAAAATTTCACTTATCTTATAATGTAATTTTGTTACTTTGCTCGGCAATCAATCGAGTCATCGAATATATATATAACTATTCGACGGTGCATTTTGAAAGAATAAGACACAATATAGTCGAATATCATTTAGTAAAACTGTTGAATCTCATGATATAATATTATCATATAAATTAGAATTAGAAGAATTACAATTTTATAAAAGCTATTTTATTCGAGTCGATGCTTGCGTTTATAGTATTTATTCATCGAAATGTTGAGTTATTTAAATGTTCTTAGTTACTTTTAATATAAGTGCACGGGCATTCGATGGTAGAAGGGGAAAAAACCAGTAATTTAATAATTAAAATATAATATAATCAAAATCAAATTACTTTTATACACATATCACGTAAAGATATTTTGATAACTGATAAGTGAAGCCGAGAATACCATTTAAAGGTACATAGATACATAGATCATATAGAATAATAAAATAGCTTCACTATAAAAACCTCACTATAAATCAAATAGGCCATTCATAATATTCACGAGCATTAGAATTTACATACTCTATAATTTTAAGATTATCAATATATATTTATTTATAAAAGGATAAATTTAACAAACTCTTCGATAATAATACTCGTTTATAAGAGTATTATAGATAATAGCGGATACATTATGAGAAATTCTTTTAATAAATACAGGATATAAATATTCTAACATTGCATTAAGTGTATTTCTTCATTTACCAATGAAGTTTATGAGAGAGAAAAAAAATGAAACCTTACAAAGAAGATGTTCGACTCAAGATTATAGAAGAAACAAGCGAAGAAATTGTAAGATATCGGAAAATTATATGTATAAATAAAAGAAGTAAAAAACGCTTCAAATGTGGACCAATCTATGTTTTTAGCGGTAAAAGATGAAAGTTCAACTCATATTTCCCACAATCCTGCCCGACGCTTATTTACTTACATGCCGTTTAAGTGTCTTAACTAAATACGAGTGTCCACATTTAAAAATCATATAAAAATGGAAAGAATAATTTAAAATAACAATTTTGCAGAAAATTTTTGTATATTCTTCGTTATTGTTCACAAATGGCTATTATTTAATACGATTACAAGATTACTGGTTATCAATCGAGACATATTATTAGCTTAACATTATTATAATTATGATAATTTTTAATTTGTAAATGCAATTACATGGTAAATATAAATAAAAATTGAATAGAATAAATGCAACGTTAAAAGTCGTTTTTGTTTAATTTTGTTGTAGTTTTTGATATCGCATTATTATTAAAATATACTCAGTAGGAACAGTTAGAATAAACAGTTGCCGAAGTACGTTAATATATCATTCGAATTCTTTGACATTGTTTAGAATACATTTGCATTTGGTTATAAAAACATAATTCGATTATATAAATGGATGATATACGAAAATAATCTTAAAATCAATAATGAAATTCTTACAATTTTAAATTTAGGGACCGGATATTGTACTTAAAATTGCGCATCCTACGTCAGTCTCGCAGATTCAATGCTGGTGTATTGTTAAACATTGTGTATTACAGGAGGGTATCGTGTTACCAAGATGCAATGCAAAGTGATACTTAGGTATACCGATCTTTGGGTTGTCATAATATTAACGAACTTTTTATTTGACACATTTGAATAAAGTTCTGTAACATATATTTGACGAGTGTCAATATAGTTTCTGCAACTGATTTGTTTTATTGAACTTGTATCTATTCCTTGAAAATTATTTGTTTATCCGAATGAAATTTTTGCGAAAAATGTTATATAAAGCATTGACATAACGCTCGATTCTTATAAATTATAAATTATTGATCATAAAGTACTATAATTTATTTATTATTTCAGATGAGATTGTAAATACTTCAAATAGGACTTTAGATTCGACTAAATTTGCTTTCCTTTTCAAAAGTAAGCGTACGTTTCTCTTTTTCTTGTTATGTCTGTACAATTTTAAATATCCCATTCTCAAAAAAGAATAATGCATATTATTGCAATATTTGTTATTAAATATTTACTCGATAATAATGATATATAATAGACTTGATATATAATAGGAATGACCGCAACAGTATAAGTAAAACAACTTAGCAGCTCATTTATAATAATTATTTATTAAAAATCGCCTGGCACATCAAC